CCATTGCACCAACCCCCCACTAGTGATGACGTACCATTACAATGTATGGCTGGTTGGTGGCCATGTTTGCGTGCTTGCTTGTCGTTAGTGGTCTCTCCACCCGGTGCCTTTTTCTGTCTCTTATTTGTTGTTATTTTCGGCCTGGTCCCTTTTTGTCCTCGCCCTTTTTATTTCATTTTTTCTTTCCTTATTTTACTGTTTCCTTTTATTTTCTTCTCTTTTTCTGTACCAGATGGCCTTGTCTCTGCTTGCGTTGTGAAGTACCAAGATTGAACCAATGGGGTGCACCTCTTTCTCTCCGGCCCGTGATGGTGACTCCTCTAGTCTCAGTTGCTATACCTTCGCATAGCGCGCAGAGGGAGTGGAGGACTCCAGAATATCTGTCGTTGATTTCTATTGACTTGCGGACCCCTCGGGGCCAATTTATTTGAGTGTATGTACCTTTTCAGGGAAAGTTAGCCTGCGACCACGGGAATCGACCTCGTCGAGTGTTGTATCAGTACGGACATACGAAGGTACTGCGTGGAAAGAGATCGGAACGGTTTTTAATGTGAAGACAACAACAACAACAACAACAACAACAACAAACCACAAGTACGTTCAGTACACCTCTCCATACTGTTTGCTCCGTTACTCCCCCCATGCCCTGGTGCGCAGTGCCTGGTGCTGGTACGTTACGTTACCCTTTCATGTTTTCTTTCGGCGGGTGTGGGAAGCGTCCTCCTTTATTTTTNTGTATCCTATTTTTGTTTTTTGTTTTCTCGCGGCGTCGTATGTGCCGGGTTTTGAGACCACGGGCTCCCCATTTTTTGTGGACTGTAGAGCTAATGTGAGAAACAACAACAACAACAACAACAACAACTGTACTAGACCAATAGTACGCGTGCGCTGTAGTACTGCCAGTACTTCTAACAAGGGCGTGTTGGTGACGTGATTCTTCGGCAGTATAGTTTCCAAGGCTAAACAGGAAGGAGTCCTCACGGGTCCCTTCCACCTGGAAACCGTTCGGTGCTTTAAACGTCTCGATGGCGTTCTTCGTAACCGCCGGCACGACGTACTCCTTCCGGTTCAGGTCGAAGATCGGTGCGGGCTTGTTGATGCGCAACGACGGCTGCGAACCTCCTCCACTCGCATAACCGGTCACCACCACCTGGTCTTCTTGCGCCTCTTCTTGGTTTGAGGGACCCGGTGCTAGTGGTCCCGCACCGGGAGCTGCGGTCGAACCAGAACTACTGCTGTGCAGGGTGGAAGAGGCATGTTTTTGTTTAAGTGACCAGCCTCAGGATAGCAATTATATGTTCCTGCGCGAACACGTAAGTCGCGAGGGAAGGGATTGCTGTAACCTTCTCGCGATAAAAATATCAGGCAGGAACCGCAGGAGGGGGTCCAACCCCCCCTCCTATGTGACCCCGGTTGGGTCGTCTAGCTGGTAGAAGTGGAGGATAGGGGCCAGAGGGGCAGACGACAGCGTCCAATGATGGGAGAAAAACAAACAAAAAAATAATGTCAATCTCGTGCGAAAATTCACGGTCTCGAACCTTCTCATCACATCTCACCCCAGCCTGGACTCAGAACACCTCATCACGCACGCGGTGGCCGACAGCCTTTCCGAGCTGACCTAAGGCGCAGACTGACCTCATGCATGCCTAGGTGCGTGTATACCTCAGCAGGTCGTTTTTGGTGAAGGGTAATAAGTCCTATGTTTATGGTTTCCAAATGTTCATGTTCCTTTCTTGGACGAATGTTGACTTTTGGGACCTTTTGGGCAGTCTGCCTCCCGAACGAGTGCGAATCAGCTGTTCGACCTTTCGAAAATGGTTACAGCTTTGCCTGAGATGCATACAGACCGCCTACTATTTGTCTCGCCAAGGTCCACGTTTTGTTTGATTTTTTTCCAGCAGAGCGAGATCTTGAAGATTCGGCCGAAAGGCCACCTTGCAAACCATAAACATGGGCCTAAAAAACATGGGCCGAAGGGGGAAATTGCGAGGAAAGTTTGCTGCGCGAGGAGTGCCCAGGTTTTTGCCCCACTTTTGACGCACAGCAGCCGCTCTACAGGAGGTCGCTATTATTTAGAATGGAACCTTGTACAGTCCTGTGCGCGTGAAATTCGGCCTATCGCATTCATCCATCACGCCGTTTGTCCCGAACCAAGAGCGCCT